CTGTGGGATGAATATGTAGCTGGTATCCGGGGGGTTCATTCACTGATGACATAGTAAAACCAATTTGATTTTAAATAGACAGATGTGCTGTGTTATGGAGAGTAATGTGTGACCGGAAATGGTCTGCAGTCAGTTGGTTGTTACCATGCGCCAGTGATGTTGGAGTATATAGTACAGCAAGATGAAACTATTATGTAGGCCAAATGAATAAAGTTCAGAGTTTGTCGGGTAGTGAAATGATTATTGTACATTTTAAGCGCTAGCTAAATTCATAAGTGTACTGTAAGCTAAATTACGGTGATTAATTTAATTAGCGAAGATGTGGAGACAATTATTTCGAAGTTCGCTCTTTCCAAGAGGGGATGCAAGTCTTTGTGAAAATGAGTACGCCGCCGTACTCATTTTCACAAAGAAATCACACAACTGGTTAGCTAACAATATGCCAATACATGAACATCTGCGAAGGAAGGTTCAATCACGCTGTTGACCAGCAAACGTCTGTACTGTATGGTGGTGGGCGGGGGCGCTACTGATGTACTGTGTAGCGGATGACGATGAGGCATACATAATAAGACTAGGCCTAGCCCAAGGCCTAACTTGACAGTGCAAAAATATGTGATAGAAAGTACACTTTCGAAAAGAAATAAATTTAAATAAAATAAACAAAAAAAACAAAAAACAAATAACTAAGAATCATTCAGTTGCAGAGGTACCTTGTACGTATTATACAATGCTAACAATGCGGCTCTTGTATCCCTAGCTAGGACAAGGCATCCATGTGCAAAGCAGTGGTGTTTATTCATGAAAAAAGCATGCCGGGATAGTTTGCCTTACCAGGAAAAGGTGACGTAATCTAGCTTATGACGTATGCATGCTAACTATAATTGTGAGTGTGACGTCACCAAAAAATGAATATTTTCTATTATAACCAAAATATTAATAACTACAAGGTTTCTGGGCGTAAATTGCCTTAATACGAATGAAGGGTTGCACAATCTCCTTGTCATACAAATTACAGCTCCCACTGACATCTCAGTCGAGAAATACGGGTAGCTGAAGTTTTTCTCGCAAATCTGACTACGAAACCATATCCAAATTTCACGTTCCACTTTTGACCCTGATTTGTACTTCACACTCGCCGCTGAGGGCGGCGTTCTGGGAACCCTGCGTCAATTACAAAAATACACATATTAAAGTTTAATTTCTAATTTCATTTATTAAAATGAATTGATACAATAAAATAAATTTTTGATTAAAATGAAAAGCAGTTTGAAATTAGAGGTTCTTAATTTAATCAGGTATGGCAAATGACTTTAGTTTTATAGCGATAGGTTTTGCATTTTGTATTTTCTCTGATATCAAAGCTATGCATTTTGTTCACACAGATCTATGGTATATTTCTTTTTGCGGTATAAGGCTGAAAGATGGTGTTTTTCATTTGCAATGCCTGTGGCCAATCTGTTAAAAAAGCTCAAGTTGAAAAACATTATATGCAGCAGTGCCGTCAATGTGAAGTTTTATCTTGCATGGACTGTGGCCAAGATTTTGTGTGAGTATATTATATTTAAAGTAAAAGCATTGGCTAAGATTCTTGCTTTTCCTGTCTCTCTAGTAGAACTCTTTTAATATGGTCAGCTCTGTTGGGCTCCTTCTCCATGTGGACATACTGTCACCCTCCTTTACAAATGTCCAACTATGATTTATTATATTGACAGAAACATTGGAGAGCCCTGCTTACAAATACCATGTACATCTGTGTATGATTAACTCAAATGCACACCAAGATTCCTTTTACAGTACATATTTATTTTTGCATTTAATTTTTTTCATTAATGTTTAGAGGCGATGGTTATAAAGAGCACACTAAATGTATATCAGAAAATGAAAAATATGGAAGCAAAAAGGAAGTTAGTAACTTGAAACCAAATAAGGGTGAAGTCAAACAGGCAGCATGGTTGGAGGTGAAATCTTATTATTTTAAGTTATTGTTGTTAATACTATTATTATCGTCGTATTATTGCTACTTATTTAATTTGTTATTATATCGTAATTGTTAATAAATTGTGGCATATATTGTTATTAATTGATATAATTGTTTCTAATGTTATTTAGAATACACCAGTAATATTTGAAAAAATCCATAAACCTGTAGGAATAGTTATGTAAATACCTTTTTTTTTTCTCAATTTACTTTTCAATTGAAATCCAAGGATGTTCTAAACCTTGCGATACATGGCATATTTTATAACTGAAAAAGATTACTTTTCAAAAATGGTACGTACAGTATTAACATTATTAATTTTTCCAAAATAATAAATATACAGTTTTTCAGAGTTGTATAAGAATTTTTTGCATTTTACTTTCATTCTATGTAGCGCGTCAGGGAAGCTTCTACCAGTCAGAAAACAAACCCTAAGATGAGGAACTTGCTGAACCAAATCATAGAATATCCAAATATTCCACGCAAAAAAACAAAATTTGAAGTAAGCATAATAATATTAATATTAATTAGTTAACATAATTGTTTGATGCGGAAGAAATAGTGCAAGTTCATCTGTAAAAATCATAATTGGGATGAAAAGTGCACAGTTTTAAGGATGTCAACAAATTTTGAACTGATTCGACTTTCTGATGAAACAGTGGAGCGGTAGCTTCGTCGTTAGATGCTTGTCTTCCAAAACCAGGCTCCTGGCTTCAAATCCATTAAAACAACTTTACTTCCTTCACATTGTTGTAAAAAGCAACATAAAATTCTGTCCAGCCATGAGGGCCGAGTCACTGCTTGTTGGATGAGAACAAAATATAAAATGCTGTGGCAATCCAAATATTAATCACAATTTAAATATAAAATGTTTGTACTTTTTTCTTACTGGTTTTTTTTTTTTTTTTTGTTTTTTGTTTGGTGTTCCAACAGAATTTTCTCAAAAATAGTCTGAAGCTGTATGACAATTATTTGATCCAGCAAGCATGGGTGATCGTTTCCGGATCCAACGAGAAGGTATATATGAATTGACTTTTTAGGAACTTAAGTTAAAGATCATGGGTGTGGGCATGGCTTATCTTTTGTCCTCAAGGAATGTATGTATTGAAGGATTTAAATGGTTAGTTGGTTGCTTCACAATCATGATAACATCATAAATACTGTCATTTCTGGGGTAATGAAATATAGTACAGTCTAATGTGGAATTAGAACTGCAAAAATAAATTTTGATGTATATATTCATAACATTAAAGCCCCATTCCCGACAAAATTACACTAAAAAAAGAATTTTAAAAAAATGCATATTCATTACTCTATTTATTATAAACCATGGAAAAATATTGGCATAAATTTTAGTTTTACGCAAAAGAATAAAAAAATGAGAAATACAGACTATTTCTCAAAAGAGATTACCATTTTCTCTACTAATTCTTCATTACTAGGCAAATTCAGAGGTTGTAGATTGCACCTGCTAGAATGCTGTCGCTTTTTCGTATACGATATACAGTCAATAAAGTGCACCTTCTCTAATGAGATTAGTTTTTATACTGCTCATCTCGCACACTGAAATCAGTCAAGTAGGCCTGAGATATGTTTGTTTAATTGTCAAAGTCTCGGTCAGAACCATTTTTTTAATCAAATTTTAAATAATTACTATGAAGTATTATATTACACAAGTGTCAATACTAGCAATGGAATATATCATGTCGGCCGTTTTTATGTCTGTTAACAGAACCTAAATCGAGGTAAGGCTAGGTATAGCCTAGCAGTGTTGGATAGGCTAATGTTTCCGGCGCCTACTATATTTCTTGGCAGACCTATCAGAAAATCAAACATAAAAAATTCATCCGCATTTATTTTCTGTGTGGAACACAAAAAAAAAATCAAATTTCAGTCTTATTTTACTTTTTTTTTTTCATGTTTAGGAGTGTCTAAATTCAGTTAAACTAGCAATTTCGTATTATATTTATAAATCTTTATAACATAAAAATCAGATTTTTCTTTTTTAATTGAAGTTTTGTCGGGAATGGGGCTATATTAATAGTGTTTGTACCTCAAATGCTATACAGTAACTCTTTTGACCATTTTCTACTTACTCTTATCTGATTAGAATGAAGAAGCTTCCAAACAAAATGGTGATAAAAATGAGAACCATCAAAAGAACACCCCTGAGTCAAATGCAGATGAAAATACTAATAAGGAAGAAAACAAATCAGAAAGCAATGGAATTGTGGGAAGGAAAAGGAAAATATCTGACCAAGGTAAGATTATAAATCAGTACATCAACGGATTCAATTAGACTACAGTGAATGTCCCAATAACATGCAGCTCGGTCCTTATAAAAACAGCCTGCCGTGCAGTGTTTATGTGTGCTAAAATGGTACCATGAATTGTGCAAAAGCCTGTCTTGTTAAAATGTAAGGTGATATAATTTAATTCATGAGAAATTGGTTATTTAAAGGTATTCTGATGGTATGAGACATAAATGAATGATATGTACTTTACACTGTAAATGAATACTGTATATAGCCCTAAAAAGCACTGTGGCACTTATTTGAAAATGTCAATCATTCACAAGCAAACAAAATCGCAGCAGTTCTAGCAATTATTAGAGACTCTTAATGGTTGAAGTTCATTTGATTTTCATTGTTGTTTTTTTTTTCTGTGTTACAGTTACTGAATCTGAAACCAAACGTAAGCAAGTTTGTTCAGAGGAATCTAGTGTTGATACCAACAATCAAATACCAGGTACATTTATTGCACATTGTAATATAATTTCAGAAATTCTGGTTATTTTGTGATTTTTACTCACACGAATACGAATCAATCAGTGTACAAAGTTTATAATAAAAATCTCATTTCAGAAAAATTTAAGTGGAATAATATGATCAAGAGGATATTACGAGAAAAAGAGAGTAAAGAAATGTCAATAAAGAAACTAAGAAAAAAGGTGAGAAATTATTATTTCTTAATGTCAATAGTTTGTATTAAATACATGTTATGTGTTAATAGAAATCACTGGAGATATTAGAGTGTTATTTGAAAGTGTATGGTACAGAGTTGAAATTAATTTGTTTCAAGAAAAAATTCCCAAGTTGCAATGGTATATGCTGTAAAGGAGTGTGATTATAATCTTGTGCCCCCCTCCTCCCCTTGAGTCTATCAAACCTTAATATATATTGCATTACAAATTACTTATGCCTGGAGCAAAGCTAAATCCTGGATAGAATTAATTTTTTGAAAACTAAAGAAAGCAATACTGGAGAAAATCATGGACGCCAACACAAAATTACAACTACAAACAGTGCTATTTTGCATACCATTATGAACCATGATAACAAAGGATTAGTTATATGTATTTCACTGAATAAACTTGTTTGATTTTCTTGCAATTTTCAGGTCATTGCTGAATACAATATCAGAAAAGGAGAAAGTAAAACAGAAGAAGAATTAAATGAAAAATTCTACAGGAAGTTGAATTCAAACCCCTCACTGATGATAGATGATAAAAGAGTCAAATTAATTATATGAAACTTGTTGATTGAACAATTGTTGATAGTCTAGCAGTCTTTCAACCACTAATTAAATCCCAGTGAACTAGTAAAGTCCATTGTACCTGGCCAAGTTGTGGTGGACTAGTAAATTCAGTCTTGCAAAGGGACGGTCAAAAATCGTAGAGTGTGGGTGGTTAGTGAAGTTGATAATTGAGACAGCATGTGCTACAGTCTACATTCGAATATATACCATGGAGATACTTCCATGAATATACAGTGCATATAATCGTACAGATTGTTCATTTGTACACATTGTTACATTGTTATATCCAGTGACATGAGTAGCCCTAGTGTGTAGTCGGCCTTCCACTAGGCATAATCTGAGTGGCCAGAGAAGTAATGGTAATTTTTAGAAGCCACTCCTTCACTAGGCAAGTGTTGATGGTGTAGTTTAACATGTTTTCAAATGGGCAGGTCCCAGTTGTGTAGTGAAATGTGTCTCCAGCTATTTAATTTCTTTGGACCGTTGGTGGGCTAATTTTTCATCAATTTGTAGTTTACTAGTAGACAGGTTAGCCTTGTTTACATGGCAGGAGCATTTATCCGTTGATGTGTAAATGGAGTTAGTAACTCTGCAAAACAGATGAGTAACTGCGATAATCTACACAGATACCTCTGCATCGCAGGAGTGTCAACATAGACCATTGGCGTGATCTTTATGCAAATTACCTGTTTTTGACCTGTGTGAGCCATCGCTGGCAGTCGCTGTTGATAAACAGTGTGAATACCATTATCATCATTTGAAAAATTGTTTTTATTAATTACGTACATTTTAAAACTTTTTTGACAAATGGTTTCAAAGCAAGCAGATATGTGTGAAATTTTTTCCGGTCAGTTTTATTCATGTGACTTCGTGGTTCAACCGATCGTTTTTTTATCATGTAGACACGCGACTGGAGATCATCAGTGTTACCTATCTGATAGCAAACGGCCGTGTAAACAAGGCTATTGTAATTGAAGGGCAAGATTTGAACTATCAGTAGACAATAAGTGCAAAGTGTCGTAACAACTATGATCTCTTATTTGCCAAATCCAGGGAAGCCAGACTCTAATGGCCCCCGGGATATTAATTAGCGTTTTTTGACCCAAATCAGCCAGAGCATGAAAAAAAAAAAAAAAACAGTCAAAAATGCTTTGTCCCGTATCCTACTGGGCTCTACCAAAATTCAGGCCCCGGTGTCATGGGGCGAAAGGAAGCCATAGCCAGGGGCTACAGCCCACTTTGTTACACCATTAAGTGCCATTTGATTACTGAGAGTTGTCAATCATAAATATACAAAAGGTATACTAAGAAATGGTTTCTTACTCTGTTATTATTTGCATTCACTAGATAATTTCAGTGTTCATTATGATACTACTACGAATTTTTAATAAACAGAGAAATTGTGTTGTCTGTTTTTACATTTTGAATATTTATTTCTTTTTGGAAATCAGAAATTCTGAGTAGAAATACTGTGACTGTTTAAGTATGAGTGACTACAAATAATCACGGATGTTTCTGCTAATTCTTGCTCCTTGGATAATATTTTTGGTAAAGCCCCTTTAAACGTATGTTAGCAAGTGCATTTGTTGCGCGTATTTTGGCTTTGTTCTGATTGGTCGATAGTTGATTAGATTGAAACTTTAGAAATGTCTATAATAGCATATACCTGCATAACTTTTCTTGTAGACTTGCCACAAGTCCTTTGTTTTTTTCTCATTCGTGACAGCGCAACCACCAATGAGCAAGTTAATTAATCCGAAAAAGAAATCGAGTATGGCACGCCAAATAAATTAGGTACGTTTCGCAATAAGAGCGATAAGTGAGTAACCCAAAATAAACCCAGGCTACTTTTTTGCTATGTTACTACTGAATATTATTATTATTACTGTATTTTGTTATTATTATTAACAAAAATTACATCTGGAAAGTTGCTGAGCGAAATATGCTGCTTTGTGAGGTTTGACGCGTAAAATTGTCATATTTGAGAAAACGCCTGTACGTCAACGTCTAATCATTGTCGTCTATGTATAGAGGGCTTGTATTGATTATTGTTTCCATGCAACGCAGATGCTGTTGGTGCAGCAATTAATGATGTTTAAATGTTCCTAAATAAATATAAAAAAAGCGTGAGTTTTAACTGAGTTAAACCATTGTCATTGAGTTTTGTGAAGATATGCCTCGGAAATTATTATTAATATTTGCTTTTAGGATAGCCTAGCTAGGGTAGGGGTTTACCTAGCAGCAGCAGGAGTTTTCAGTTTACTCTCCACACTCTGCTGGCTGGGTGGGAGACCAAGGCCTACCTAGGTCCAGACCTAGGGCCTAGGAGGCCTAGCTAGGCTAGACCCTAGGCCCTCCTGAGTTGGCTAGATACACAACACCAGGGAAGCGCCATATTTTCCAATTTCATCCCTGGTAAGATTGATCACCGTACTATTTAATAGGCCTTGTCCTAAACCAAAACAATTTATTTACAATTTCTCATAAATGAAGTACAAGTAGGCCTAGGGCAGGCCTATATTATTAATTTTGATTTTAATTTTATTTTGAATTTTGGTTGTTTAAATAAATAAAGATCAAGTGCAATTATTAGTTTTGAAACTTGGTTCGGATTTTATATGATTTTATATTTATTTTCATGACTTGCAAGATTGTTGGGCCAAAATATACCCAAAGATTTAATGAAGGAACCAGTTGTGAACAAATAAAATAAACCCACTGCGTACATTTTTAATGATCTTCTTTTCATTTACAGTGTATTCATAATTCTAGATAAAACAGAAAAAAAAACAATGTCTCGTGCCCAGGCTGAAAGTGTCATTAAAAACATAATTCGTGAAATAGCTCAAGAATGCGCCAGCAAAGGCCAAGCAGTGTCTGAAACACTGGTAGCCTTCATGGTTAAAGCAGTCGTGTTAGACCCATCCAATGAATTCAATGTTGACAGGACACTAACCAAAGATGATGTTCAAAAACTTATTAAGGTATTTACAAATGTTTAAACAATATTCAAACAACTTTGTGTTCACCATTTTTTTGTTTTAGAGAATTAAAAAAAAAAAAAAATCATAATTACCGCATATGCCATATTATACTTTAATTCTAACAATAGCTATGTGTTGAGCGACTTCTGGACACTCGATCTCCATCTCTGGACACTGTCAAGATGCAAGTTTACTTTGATATGAATTATACAACCAGAGGTATGAGTTTTGATAGCATTTTTATACCCCTTACTTCATCATTTGATTGTCATGATATGTCTGTCGTGATCATAATTAATTTTGAGCGCTCATGTAAACAAATCCATTGAAAATGTAAACCTGCTTACTGTACTCTTGCTTTGATTGGCTGTGAGCTGTTATTGAATGTACATTGAAAAAAACTTGCAAGTAATCATTATAAAGTAATTACTTTTATGTTTGGATGATTTTAGGGGACTTCCTCGAAGAGCATCGTCGTGTTCTTGAGCAGCGACTGTTGCCAGTGATTCGTGAGATCACTGACAGCCGTGCAAGAACTAGAGAGGAGTTGGAAGGCTTGTATCGGAAGATAGTATCTGCCGTCTTGCTGCGTTCTGGCCTTGGCTCACCCACAGATATAGCAGTGGTTAGGGAAGCTACAGGTACTATATCAGTTTACTGTAATAATGTACACCGTATTGCACAGTGTTGAACAGTGAACTTTATTATACAAAGGCATACACAGGGATGTAGTTATTGGTGGGGCGAGGCCACAGGGCCTTGAAGGTTTACCACTCAGTCTAAATAATATTTGTTGACTTTATACAGTGCATATTGTAGCGACTCTGTGCTTTTGAATGTAATTTTATGACCCACCTTTATTAACCTCCTTGTACATCCTTAACATCCACTCAGCGGTGTTTTTCGGTTTACAAATTAATTGAACTGAACACCTGCGCAATTTAATATTTTTTAGCCTCTTCCATGCCAACCTCATGACCTTTAACTTCAATAAAACACCAGTTTACCTGATTAAACTTGTGAATATTCTTGGTTACTATTAATGATTGCATATTCCATGTCTTAAACTATTAATTTTTCTATATTATGTTCATCTTATTTTTTTTTTATAGCTGCCCTCCAAAGTATCTTTCCACAAACTGAACTTGGTACCTTTATGTCGTTGACTAAGCGTGACAAAGAACGACAGCTGGTTGAACTTACCAACATAGTGACTGGCATCAGGCTCTTCAACAAGGAATGTGGGAAGGGAGGAGAAGGAATTGATGATTGTAAGGAACCATTGTCATCATCATTATTACTGTCATCATCACATACCTTATCATTACTACTGTCAAAAAAAGTTTTGCACATTATCATCAACAATGTTGTCTTCATCATCCCTTTCATCCTTATTATTTTAACCATCATCATCACGTGTTTCAAGTCTCATTAAACCTGCCGTTCTTTCACTTGCAACCCCTACATAATCTTCATAATCAATATTATGATATTATGATAAAAAACTGAGTTGTGTCAACATAACATGTTGTTTTGTGTTTTCAGTACCTGCTATATTAAATGAAGCGATACCAGCAACAACACACAATGTAGATGCCGCCACACAAAGAACGTGCCAATCTGCTTTTAAATATACTGGTAAGGGTAGTAGTGGAGCAGTTAATTAAATATTAAATTAATTAATTAGTTATTGTAAGGAATATGAAATAAGAAATAATAATATCCACTCATGTTCAGCTTGCATGCTATGTATAAATTCCAGGTGCCTAAACACAGTATCACATGCCTCTATCTGTTAGGCCTAGTACCTTTCATAAATGTTTGTAATTATTTGAAATTTACTTTATTCCCCTCAGCTCTGATTGAGCATATGATGGCTACAGATGTGCAGGATGGTCCTTCATTGCAACTGTTGCGAGAGTCCATGATTAATGCCAGACAACACGAAGCCTTCCTTCGAATTATCCTGGTATGTTTTTGACGGCTTTAAAGCTCATCCAAACGAGTGATCGTCATATTCATACTGGAGAACGCAAGTGACCTGCATGGCCATCTGGCGACTGTAGAGATCCCTCTTTTGCGACTCTTAGGCTGTGAATAATGCCAACTATATAAATATATAATGCACTGTATTCGCTACATTACCCTGATGAAAACTAAATAGCCACTTTGTATGTATGATTTGTATGATTGTATGTTTTTTGTTAATCTTTTTATTGTGTAGATGGAGTCATACCTAATAAACATGTAAACATCTTTTCTTTTTAGAATGATGTTATAAGTTGTGCCCAGCAGGTGGAGATGTTTGAGTCACAGCTTGCCTCCAGGATGGAGCAGCTGCAGGCCACGGTGCAGTCCAAGACAGCTGTTCCAACTGCTCAAGTCTATGTAAGTTGCATAAATTACAAGCCCCATGTGATAATTCAACAAAAGTGCTTATTAATTCAAGATTACTTTAAAAAGTGTATTTAAGGGTTATACAATTACACATTAGAATCTGTGTATCTGTTCATCACAATTAACCACTTTTAGACACATGGGATAAATAGAATCAAAATTAATCATAAATTATCTAAAAATTAGATTTACATATGTCTGCTTTTCAATATCTTAATATTAATTCATTTTTTATAAAACTGAAATCAATATTCAAATATTGAGAGGAAATCCAGCCATCTGGAATTTGATCTCACAACTCTGTGATTGAATTGTGCAAGCAAAATAATAAACATTTTTAAATCAACAAAATTAACTGGAATATGTTTTCTCTTTCAGCCACAGTTTATCAATCTCTCTCACCTGTGGAGTTGTTTTCAAGATGAGATGGTCCTGCTGAGTGTACTAAGTAACATTCTGGCTAGTCTTGAGCCATTTACAAAGGTATGATAACAGTTATGAGAAAAGTTGTATATTTCTGACTGATGAACTAGCTCTGACAATCAACATTTATAAATAACCTTATTTAATCAACACATAGGGTCATCGGGAAGTCTTTACAGATGAGATGCTCGCTCCATTTCTCACTGAGATTGATGTGTTGACAGATGAAGATAGAGTGAAAATGGTAAGGAGATTTGTGCCAAATTCAATTTGTTTACCAAATTGCATTGTATTATAGTTGTATTATATAATACAATTATTGTTATATAAAACAGATTAACATTGGGATGTCCTCCTGCTCTGCTTAATATTATTTAAAGATGTTCTCTACATGTGAATCAACTATTGATTGATTGATTCTACATGTAATATCTATAATAATTACCTACATATCAGCTTGCAACATTTGATCAATCTAAATGTAAATCTTGTTCATTTCATTTTGTTAGTCTGAAGGCTCAGAAAATCGAGTGAACCCATCAGAACTGAACAATGTGGAGTGGTTGTTTCCAGAAACTACCAAAAATTTTGAACGTTTGGTATTGCAGTACAAGGTAAGTTACAGTATAACTTAACACTTATCCTTGAAACTTGTCATAATAATCCTACATAATATAGTGAACTCGCACTCACCCATCAATTTGTGTCTTGTTGCTTATCATTCTATCATATAGAATATCAGTTTATCTATAAGAATATATAGTTGTCATTGACTGAATGGTTGATTGATTGTTTGATTGTGCCTGATGGAAATGTTAACGTTCTTTGTTTTACATTTGGGTTGCTGTTGCATACTTGACAGTTGAATATTGTTGAAATAAATTAAATAAAACTGTTATGTTGACAATTTAACGAATTTATTGTCATGACAAAATTCCTTACCATTTCTTTGAAGGCAACGCCAAGTAGAAATATTTTCGATTTGCAAACATGACAAATATCTCAAATATTATCTTATAATTATTATGTACCTTCATAAAGTGCTGCTTGGATGTATTTTGTGAAACTGTTGCCCAGGAATGGAGGCACCACCAGTGTCATAATGTACAATACAAAATGCGAATACATTTGGTGTATCTGCAACACCCTGTGAAATGGGAAACCTTGTTATTGGCAGTGATTGAGTAAATACCATATTTTTGTTATGTGCTTATCATCATCATTAATATCATTTTTAATTATCATCTCTTAGGGCTATTGTGGATGGTCTCTTGTGCAAAAGAATGTACTCCTTATCCCAGGCAACCCAGACATTGGTGTGATGAGGTACCAGAACAGACACTACGTGTTCTCATCAAAGCAGGCAGCCTACGAATTCGCCAACGATCCAGACACGTATATCATGATGGTGGCAGAGTGCGCTAAGAAAGCTCCTGAACTCATCCAGCTTCTGGAACTCCATGCTCAGTTTGCTACAATAACACCATATTCACAGGTATGGTTTTTACTATAGCATTCTATTCACAGGTACAGTATTTACTATAAAACCCTATCTATTTACAGCAATATCATTTACTATAACACCCTATTCACAAATATGGTATTTACTATAACCGGGGACCTAGAGATCTCCACGGTTCAGCGCACACACAGTGGCTGCAACCAGATTAGCCGACTGAGCTAAGCTGATCTCTCAATTTAAATATGTATTTCTTCAGAGGTAGATTATTTACTATACTGTTAGTTGGCTCAAAAATATGTAATTCTTACTTCTATTCTTATTATTATTATTGAGTCTTCCATCATTTATTGGTCATCTGTTGTATGTATCACATATTTTCAAAATATGTACATCATTTTTAAAGTAGTTTTATTCAAGTAGTAAATTTAGTTTATGTGGGTTGGATTTAAAAGTAAATATATTATTTATAATACTATCTACAGGGAAAAGATCAAGGCAAAATGATTGAGAAGCCAATTACTAAATGTGATGCTGGTATCCAGACGGAAGTTCATCCAATTGAATCAAACATCGTCAAGTCTTACGAATGGAATGAGTGGGAGTTAAGGAGAAAAGCTATCAAACTGGTCAGTAATTCCTTATTCATTATCATCTTAGCCATCATCATTGGCAAAAACACCCAATTAAATAGTGTAGTAACTTCTACATTTCTTCTTATTGTATTATGTAGACAATTTTTTCACTGTTTTGTTCATTTATTTTATGATGCGAGGCTTCCAAACTGTGTTACCCTTGTCAGAGACCTTTGAACCCTCAATGGGAAATCTCTGGTGCTACCACTGCTTCTAAATGATTATCAAGATGATGATTACACTATGCAACAGTAGTGCATTTTTGTATGCATTGTTTTTTTTGAATACGATAAAAACAAAATTGATCAGCTTGCTTCCTTCCTTCAGGCAAACTTACGGAATAAGGTGACTCACTCAGTTCAGACAAACCTTAGCAACTTACGGCGGGACAATGTGTCGCAGGTCTACCTACCAAAGTATGTAGCAGGAGTCTTCTTTATTTTATTATTCTTACTTAGTAAGCCGAAGGTTTAGGATAATCATAATACTGTAAGCCTATGCTCCTACAGTACACAATGCTAGAGCATCTGTGATGGTAATAGTAGTTGTGGTGAAGATGATAACGATGATGAGAATAATGATGATGATGAGAATAATGATGATGATGAGAATAATGATGGTGGTGGTGATGATGAAAATGGTGATGTTGAGAATGATGATGAGAATAAGGATGAGGAGAATAATGATGGTGACAAAGATGATGAGAATGATGATGGCAATGATGATGATGAAGATGATGGTAATCAAAATAATGAGCATGATGAAAAGAATGATGGTAATTATTAATAAAATGAGAATGATGAAATCAATGATTTTGATAATTTACACACCAATGATTTGATTGACACACTGGTTGCATATTGTTATTGTAGGGATACTGGATCTCAGACAAAGCAAAGCAGCGGCACAAATGTTCCACGCCCTCAGACGTTCCTTGCTGGTCTTCGCGGAGGAATGCGTAAAACAACCGTTATGACCAAAGTTGACCTAACACAAGATGTTGACCAGACTTAGCACATTTTTGCAGCTTAATATATGATTCTGAGATGTATTGTCAAGAATTTTAAAATATAAATATAAAGTGAATGAATCCTTTAGCATAACATGAATTAGATAATTACATTGTTTATTTTTTAATTTAATCTTATACAATAGTGAGTACTGTTATGTATTGCTTTTGTGGAAATAAACGACATTGAATGTTAATATTGACTACAGTTCTGGTGTCATTCAGCGATAGTGTCAGCATGTCTCCAACAAGTTGTCCTAAGTTCCAACACAAACTACCTCAGCCCCACAGAGACAGGATAGGAGTATTTTTGGTGTGAATCACCTACAGTCCAGACTTTTTTCCAGTAGTGTCCTTCTGGTGGTGATTGGGCAGTACACAAGACCAACAGCTTAAACGTCTCATTCGAAAGATGATTCTTATTCAATTAAACAGTTAGTCACATAAAAATCAACTGGACAGATCATTAGATAAAATGTTAAACTTTATTCAAATTTTTCATCTCAAAATAAATTATCCAACATAGAACACACAGGTGCTTACAGTATACAAAACAAAAAACTGAAATTTGTATGAATTTAGAAACAACTTAGGTCCGAAATCTTGTTGAAATCAAGAAAATTAACAATTTTATCCAGTAACATATTCCAGCTACATCCATTCTCTTTAAAAAAATATCTGAAACCCATAATTCCTTTGCCAGTGTTTTGGGAATGTGTTTGTACGGTAGGTATGTGTTACTAACTGGAAGGCTTTTATTGTGCAGTACAATAATAAATTGTAACAGAACTGCTACAATATATCCCAAGAAGTAGTCCTGGTCATGGTTCTTTACAAATTACAGGGAATTGCTATACTGGAGAAGGTGGGGGGGGGGGGAGAAAGCATTGCTTTATGTGGGAAAGGAAAAGAACTAAATATTAAATCATACATTTAAACATCATAAACTAACATCACCCACATCCAGACTTTTCAGTACATTTGTATTGTGGCCAACTATTTCCATTGAGGTCTCAAGAGCTATCATGCTTAACAACCTCAACCCCACCCCCATGCTAGTTCTTGCTCTCATGAATGAACTTGATCATTAATTATTCAACAAACAATACATAACAATACTCTACTCGGGGGCAGATCTAGGATTTGAAAGAGGGGGGTTCAAAATGTTTCCAAAAAACCCCAAATTGCAAGGGGGTCTGGGGTCCACCCCCTGACGAAATGAGCTTTCCCGACTTCCGAGGTGTCTTCTAATGGCCTTTAAGTTCTTCAAAATTCAAGGTTTTCCTTTTTCCACCTCTTGAAGAAGGTCAGGTAATTTTATCTCGTTCTTAGGCCTATACATACAGAAAAAAAATCAAGGACATAGGCACTATGTTATTATATTCCAACAATATTGAGTAGTTGGATACATAGTCTTTCTCCTTGGATCGATGAACTGATAGGCTTGAAGAACGCACTTTCGTACATAAATTATTACGTCGAACCAAAAACAGTGTTTTTAATTGTATATATAATTGAAGGCTAGTTGGGCTAAGCTTAGTTTGTCTGATCTGCCAACCTATGCCTAGGTAGGTAAGCATGCATTTTGTAAGCCAGGACCCAGTAGTATTATGTTACGTTTCTTCAGAGGGCGGTTCAGACGAACCTTGGATCCCCCACTGCTACTCTGTTTCCCTGTTCAAGTTTGTTTATTATTATTATATAAACTTATTATTATAAGTTCATATGTCCATTAAAACACATACCTTCACAAAGGCTTCTCTTTTTTGTGAACTTTGGATGGGCTTCTTTTGCAAATTAAAGAAGGGGGGGGGGGCTTGTTTTCAAAATGAATGCTCTAAATATTGGGAATTACTATTATAAAACAATAAATAGGGTCACTGCAACATCAATCTGTGTCATGGAGTGTATTAACTAGCATTAAATCACCTAAACTACTAAACCAAGTGTTTTTAATTTTGTTTCTTTGAAATTTATGAACAGTGTATTTACTGTACTATCTCAAAAAGAATCTCATGCTATCTTGAAAAGAAGCCCATGGGCTTGTTTTGAAGATGGGCCTCTTTTTGAGGCTACATTTGCAAATTAAAGAGGGGGGCTTTAATTCAGATGGGCTTCTTCTCGAGATTAAGCCCATTAGGCTTCTAATCAAGGTTTTACGGTATGGTATTACTTATCAGTACTCGGATTTAAGTGGACTTGTAGAGTGTATTATAGAAAGCCAAATCAAATCAAGTCTGCCAAATGCATCATGGTAGTTTAACTATGTATGGACTAATAGAATGTACTTTCAATTCTTGGACTGTGATGAATACAGCCATTGTTTTTATTCAGTCTTCTTTAAGTGCATCTTTATCATCTGATGGAATTCGTTGATATCCACCTTTTGTTTTCTTGCCTTTTGTTTCTTTCACCCTTGAGCCAGGTATTAATGTAGCAAAGATAATTACACCCATTAAAAATGTAAACAAGATGATTGGGGCCAGTATTCCATAAACAGGCCAAAGGGCAACATTCAAACTGAAATTGAAGAAAAGTATGTATTTACTACAAATCATGAACTGTTTGTCAACAACCAGATAAACCACTATATACAATCAGTGTCCAATAAGCATCTAAGTGATAACTTACCAAATTGAACCAAAGACAAAAGATGCAGTTGCTAATGGAATAGCTGAAGGGAAGTGACTCTCCCAGTCTTCAATTTTTTTTATCCAGGTGCATACAACAATCAGGTAAAACCCTATACAACAATTAACACCAACAAGAACACATCCGGTATACAGCCAACCCCTAAAAGAACAAAATATTGTAAACAAAATAAACATACAGCTTCTATTGAAAACTAATAAGGAAATTCAGGGCACAGTGCATCCCTTATTACTCATGGTCAGTACACAGGGGAACAGTTGCCTAATGTACTACTCTTCTCGACATGTGTATTAAGTTCCTCTACCTAACAAGCAAAAATGATATTAGCAGGTTTCAAACTTGGTTTCAAATCCGTTTTTGCTTCTGCACCATATTGTATTTTAATTACGTGGGTGATACATCAAAAACTACCCCAAATTTCCACTCAAAATCAGCAAAAAATAGGTGCGTAGAATCATAACTACTGCATATAATACACTGTTACATATTAAGAGATAGACCAAGGCTTTCAGTAATTTTCGGCAAAATATGCGCAGAAATCAGCCCTTATTTTCCGAAATGTGTGGGCGGATTTCTGGGGCTAATTTTTGCGCTGAGGATATATTCCTCGCGCTGGTCTTTTTTACAGCATGGCTTAAAAGTGCATTTGGGTAAAACACTTTGGTTTAACAGTACAGGTACTCTTGATTGTTTCCTTCAGTTGGAAAGTTAAGCCGTTGGTCCCAATGCCCATAATATCACATGTGCATTACTATAAATATTTAAATTTTAGTGTACGAAAAGAGTTGGTAACCACCACCTAATTGATGTACAGTACATGACAATTCAGAAATGAATATGAGAATAAATTCACCGTTAGGTTTTAGACATAAAATGTGCATAATTTGATTAACATTAAAAAAAGCTTACTTTTGCTTAATATTAAAAATTCTGGAATCCATTGAGCCTTGCATTTATACTTATTTCTACTCAGGTTGGTCCTTTCAATATGAAAGAGAAATATTTCACTTACCTTTTGATTCTGGGATCTGTTTGTAGTGTAAGGACAAATTCTGTATAATAGAAAATACAAAATAAAGCTACAAGCCAGAGTAGGTTCTGCAGATTGTAGGGTGACCTGTTCCTGGCTTCTTCTTCTTCCTTCTGCTTTTGAAGTTCAATTAGTCTTTCTGGGTCAATATTCTTGAATTTCTCAACATCTTACATTACAATAAAAAAAAAAAGATTTTCATTAACACTAACAGTGATGTGTCTAAGAGTCTTGGAGAGGCAGGGTTGGGGGGGGGGGAGTTGACACAATGATTAAGTGATGGGGTGTTATACTGTACTCGTAAAATATTTCAATGGAGGGGAGCACACCTTAGATACACCACTGTTCATTAACAATCTCAAGGCAGAGAAATATATGAATTATTTCGCCCAGGCCAGGTATTTCTATGAATATTTAGGCCCTATGCACATATAGGCCCTAATTTCATTTATTATACTCATTTCATTACTTTTGTCTTTTGAACCACAAAACAACATTAAAATTGTCTTTAACATTATTATTAAATTAATTAAACAACTTTCTAATACTTTTTAGGAAGGAGGCACATTCATACCATACGCTAGGTCTAGGCCTACACAAAAGTTATCACAGAGCCACACAATCCAGGCGTGTAGCCTAGGCTATGACTAGGCTATGTGGTCCCATAGAGAAAGAAAATAATGGTGGTTCCCCCAATTTTCCGGTTAGGCTAGATAAGCCTAGGATTTTTACGAGCAAATAGGAAGTTATATTCTGTTTGGCCAGACAAAATAAATTTACCTATTCCATACGCATTGATAAATGCTTCCGCAATTTTTCTTCGCCTAATATCAAATTCATCCTCATCTTTCTCTACATTTTCTAGCTGTATTTCATCGTAACTTTCTACGTTTTCTGCCATCTTGATCATATCAAACTGTCAAGCAGCAGACACTTTGAACTTTGAACTTTATTGAAACACTTTTTTGTATCAATGGCACACACCAAACGGTGGCGCATCCAAATAACTAGTACCATTTCACAAAATACAAAGAAAAGATACAAAAAAACAAATTTAAAATGATGGAAAAGTAAACATTAATGAGTACAATGAAAGGAATATCCAATGACCAAGAGATGGGCTGCCCAACTCGACAAGGCGGAGAATAGCCGAATGGAGCAGTCCAAATGTCAGCGAATTACTCAGCCATTGCACTTATTAAAGATGTACTGTCCCTTGCAAAAAACAAAAAACAAAATCATAAAAATAATTTTTGAAATTTACTTGACCATTTTGAAGTAACATAAAAATTATCAACTTGAACATAGAAATTAGTGTATTTAAAAAATGCTTACCTATAAAAACTATCATTTTACAGCGAAAAAAAAAATGATATTATCTTTATTATAATTTTCCAGTTAAAAACACATTTTTTTTAATTTAATATTTTCTATGCTCAAGTTTATAATTTGTATGTTACTGCAAAATAAGCAAGTTAATTTAAAAATTATTATTTTTATTTTTTTATTTTGGTCATTTTCAAGGGACAGTACATCTTTAAAGTCCATCAGTTCATTTGTTGGTCTTAAATTTGAAACACACCTAAAAAGGGTCCTTGTCATTTGAAGAATGACAACCATAGCTACCAAAAGTGACTAATAATAATTTTTTCTTCATTTCCTTCTTCTTTCTTTTCCTTTTCTCTTTCTTCCTCTTTTTTCTTCCCGCCCTTCTTTTTTTCCCTCCCCCCCCCCCATGACAAAGAGAAATTTAGGTGTGTACTAAAGTAATTATTAGTGATAACAATAAATAATGGCCTAATTAATAACAAACATCTTGATGACTACAAACTTAACTACTAATAGTGAGAAAAACTAAAGTACAGTTTAATTTGTTTGGGAGGGTAATGTAGACAGCATCAAAGATTTAATTGTCCATGCATTAGTTAAATATTCTTTTCAATGGAAATCAAAAATTTGTCCTATAATAATTATTATATTTTCTATATACACGCATCGATGCACATCATCAATATTCAACAACATGAATATGCATAACCTGTTGTTTTGCGCATGCAGAGTTCAGTTTATCGTTTGGATATCGTTGGATTTGGTTCTTGCCATTTAGTCAGAGATTTTTACAGGTAGGCTGTAATTTTGTCTATTTAGATTAATGCCAAAATTATAGGAATCCCTACCTAGATAATGATTAGCCTAACATATGCAAAATAAGGCTAGGCCAGGCCCTAGGCCTAGGCCTCTCTTAAGAATGCTTAGTTAGGCCAACCAAGGCTAGGCCCTAGCTTACCTTGTTAAGTTTGTGCGAGAGACAGGTGCGAGCTGAGAGTCTCTCGTGATGATACGTGGAGGTCAAAACCATCCATCTGTGACGAAGGACTAGCTAGGCCTAGAAAAATCAAGATGCGATTTGGTGGCATAATTTCTTTCCTTTAAAACCATTGGCCCAGGAAGGAAGCATGGAGATCTAGAATTTTTTTTTCAAACGGGGTTGGGGAGTGGGGGGAGTAGGTGGGTACAACATTTTCAGAATATTGTAGAAAGTGGGTAGTGCTATTTCAGTACAATACTACATAAAACAATACATTGATTATGTTTTGAAATTTAAAAATTTAGTGGCAAAACAGTAGGTGCATGCCCTCGTTCCATTTACTGGATACGCGCCTGGAAGCCATGATGAGGCATGTGGCTGGGCCAGGGATATACAGTAGCATCTGCCTTGCTGTGCTGATGCCAGAACATATAAACTCAATGTAATACAACAGAGAGAGGCCTCATTTTAAGTTTATTGTATTATTAATTTAATAATTTTCTTTAAAGGAACAGTTATGGAGTCTGAGGTGTCTGAATCAGCACGGCTTAATCTGAAAGAACCAAAATGGGACCAAAGTACGTATCTAGGTAGGGCGTTTCACTTTTTCACTGTCACCAACCCAATAAATCTGCTGCTGACTACCAAACAGCTTGATGATGCTAAGAATCTCCTGCAGCAGTACAGGTATGTTTATCTTGAGCGGAATTACAAATCAATTTTTGGCTTGTTTAATACTTGGTTTTAGCATTGATATTAACTTCTATAAGTATATGTATACACCTACCAATATCAAAGAGTGGTTTTGAAAATAGAACCAACAACATTTTTTTTTAATTTGACAATTATATTTTGTTGACAGTATTACACAGAAATTATCAAATTTTATTAACAAATGTTTATGACTGACAGGCCGACTGACATTCCATCTGAGTATATTATTATAATAAACTAAACATAGGATGGAGCTAAATTATTAATAAAAATTTGTTGCTGCTACATTTATGGTTTATTTTTTATTTGACTGGTTTTGTTTGATAATAGAATTACATGTACATGACTCTCTAACTACAGTACAGTATATAGGAAACATTGTCAAAGGCTAGAATGCATATCTATCAGGGATTCACATACTTATTTTTCGGCTGATTTTTAGTGCACTGCAGTCTTGTTTTTGTCATTACAGTCCTTTGTTGATGGCAATTCCAGTGCTAATAATATTTACAGTATATTGCAGTAGACTTTTGGATTGCTTTTACATATTATTTTATACAGTAATATCTAAAAGCAAGTTTGCTTTGATCTTATTAAAATTTTTTTTTTCTCCCCAAACTCAATAAAATATGTTATTTGTTGATTCTTATATTCAGGAAGAGTTTGTAAAATGACATTGTATTATTTTTTTTTTATTGGTATTTGTTTACATTGCAACCATTTTAATTGATTTTATTTTGTATAGTAATGTGTACTTTGTACCCTTACATTGTTTACCTTGTACCTTGCACCTTGTTTTTGTATTTACTTCATATAGGACATTGTTATGTATTAGCATAGCAAGAAAAATTACTAAATGATGATGATTAATGGGGTAAATGTCATCATTTCTCAAAACTATTTCTATATACTATTATAAACTAAAAAATGTTGGCACCAAACATAAAGTAACTCGCTTACACGTAAGATTAAACTGTCTATGTGTTACTCTACATACTAAGTGTGGTTACATAATTTGGTGCCTAAAAACTGGGAAAATTTGGGCAGTTCTGAGACGTTCAAGTGCATAAAGATTTTTTAAACGAAGAAAAAAAAAAGATTTTCCTTTTTTGTCTGACAAGTTGTGGCCAACAGGGTGCTTGGTCTTCCAAAGGAACAGGTGAGAAAATCTTTTTCCTATTTTAATTTTAAGTTGAAAGTTAAAACTTATTAAAAAAAGCAATTATTTGATTTTCTTTATTTTATAGGTTACTGTATATTTATTTAGTTGACAGAATTTAAACTTGACAGGTGTTTATTTTTCATTAAAATTCCAGCGAGTACAAGGAGCCAGCTGGAACGACTGAAGAACAATTATGGACAGCAAAGTACCGATACGACTCTGCCTTCCATCCAGACACCAAAGAAAAGATGGCTCTGATTGGTCGAATGTCTGCACAGGTCCCAATGAACATGACCATCACCGGCTGTATGTTGACATTTTATAGGTAAATAGAAGATTATTTAAAGACAGAACCACCACAAAATTTGCTGCAATCTCTGGTCAAGAGTGCCTGAAACCATGTCCAGACTCTGACTATCACATTTTTTGACAAAAAACTGTTGTATGCCCATATATAGTCATGATGTGCCTATATAAGGTCATGGTGTGATGTCATCATGACCATATTTATGCACATCACAAGTTTTTTGTAAAATCAAATTTAATAGCCTGAATAGGGCTTAAGCCATGAGAGGATGATCTAATGGTGATGATTTTTTATTATATTATTTGCCAACAATAAAGTACAAACAATTAAGCTATTAGGAGGATGATGGTGATAATAATGATGATGACGATGAGAACGATGCTATAAAATGGTAGTTAAGACGAGGAAAATGAAGACCGCTGGTGGTGATGATGCTAATGGTGATTCTCGAAAAGCACCGCTCTCAAATAGCGCCGCACCAAGCCAGACTTTCTTAGCTAAGCGCCGCTCTGGAATAAGCACCGTGGCACTTATTCAAGAGTTTATATTACCCTGTGTGTAATGAAACACTTTGAGAAACATGGTTTTAAATACAATGTATGCAGTGTTAAAATGAATAAGTCAATGAAGACACAAGCATTTCTCTATAAAAACGTTATTTATGATGACGTACGACCTATGATAGACCTACTGAACTACGGGAATACATAAGCTGTGTAATATGGGAACGGGCATTTTTTATAAGTGCCACTCTTGAATATGCGCCGCACTGAAGCCTCCAAAAATGTTATAAGCGCCGTGGCACTTGTTTCCAGCATTTACGGTAATAAGATGAGGAGGATTATGAAAAGCAGATGATAATGATAGTAATTAATAATGAATTGATAATGATGTTTGGTAGATAAGGTACTAGAAAGGCAGTGACAGAAGATGGTGATGGTGATGAAAAAAAAGGTAATGATGAAGATGGTGAAAATTAAATAATAAGAAAATATATAAAAGTAAGTAAATTATTTTTTTTATTCATACCAATATTACTTTTTGATTTTCAGGACTACTCCAGCTGTTGTATTTTGGCAGTGGATTAACCAATCTTTCAATGCAATCGTTAACTACACAAATCGTAGCGGTGATTCCCCCATTCCTGTAAAGTAAGACATAATATTTTGATTATTAATCCAATAATTTAATATAATTGACACTGTGAAAGAAAGCTCAGGTCAGACTTAATGTAACACAAAAAATGTTATATATCACTGATTTTTATTATCTATTTATTGAATAATAATATGGAAAGTTACTTTCCATATTTTCATCTTTTAATTGTGTTAAAGGATGCATTCATTTTGTTAATTTCATTCTGGTTTTTATTTAAAAATTGGACATTGCAGCTGTTGTAAATGTAAACATTCTGAAGCCTTTGTATTTTGAGCCTATGACATGAATATTTATGAAGTAATTAACATAAAATGGTTACAATCACGACAATGCATTAATGGACTTTAATTCGAAGTCTAGAGTGTAGCACATCTTGTTTTTGACTCATGTGCTAGGTTGGTGCTAATTGGGTTAACTATTTGCTGGTTGCTTATGTAGTGTGTACAGTATTTTCCAGATACTCTAATAAGTTGTTAAAAAAATATTAATAGTCATCTAACATCATTTTGATTTAACTTTGTTCGGCTTTCAGTACCCTAACGACATCGTATCTAATGGCAACTAGTGGAGCCGTTGCAACTGCCTTGATACTGAACAGTCAAGTAAAGGTAAGTTACTCAAGAATTATAAAGTGTGATAGTTGATTATGGTCTATCCAGCCCAGGGCCCCCTAAGTTGGTCAAAATAAAAAAGAAAAATTGGAGAAAAAAGAAATATATTCAAATTTAAGTGCGAGTTTGCCATTTCCGACCACCTAGAGTTTGTGGAAGTCCTTCCCCGGGCCCCCTCTATTTCCAATTCCAGGGTCTACAAACAAATCAAATATTGATTTTGTGTCAGCTCAAACACAAATTTGTCTTAAACTATGGAATACAACAAGTAAAAACTATAACTTTAACTAAAAATATTGCTGTTTCTCTTGCAGAATCTTCCAAAAATTGTTGGACGTTACGTCCCATTTGCTGCCGTAGCTGCTGCAAACTGCATCAATATACCAATGATGAGGCAAAGAGAAATAAATCTAGGGATTCCAGTGTTTGATATAAATGGTAATAGGCTTGGAGATTCCAAGATAGCAGCTAAATATGCCATCCTACAGGTCGTTATATCTCGAATTGGCATGGCATTACCTGGAATGGGTGAGTGTTGGCAATAATCACAATACAGTAGTACTCTTATTAAGGATAAGACACCTTCTAACTTGTACCTTACTTGTATTCTTGGGACGTCGTGAAGCATAAATGCTTATGTGGCCCACGTTTCTTCAAGTGATGATAACCCTTCGTAATGACGTAAATGTTGCTAGTACCAATCCTGTCCGCTTGTAAAGTCTGTTTCATTTAATTCTGTATCTTTTATAGAGGTAACAGCAAACTAAACTCTGTCATATTTCATGTGGGACCTTAAATAATTTTTTTTTTTAAATTTTATAAAATCTATTCTCCGTCCTCAGTGGGTTACACTTTAGTGGCTGATTAGGATGCACCAGTCGAGAGATAAAAAAAAGTGCCAATCAATTTGTTGATTGATGTTTATGATGGTGAGTGAGATGGAATAAGAGTACAGTAATTTATTTATGATATTTACAGAGATTGACATACTCTACTCTCCACTCAATGAATATACCAGTGCTCTTCTTATTTTCAGCTATACCCCCTCTGCTGATGGTAAGATTGGAGAAAGGTTCATTCCTCAAGCGATTTCCATTTATGAATGCACCAGTTCAAGTTGGTTTAGTTGGTTTATGGTGAGTATAATATTGAAAATTATTTACATTATATTATATTATACATATCATATATTTTTTATTATTTAATTAATTTATCAGTAATTGTTTAAAGATTTGATCATTAGTTTAGAGAGTGTATCAAAAAAAGAAAGAAGAGATTTTGCTTAGACATTGATTAGGCTTACATTTAAGTTTTCATAATAATTTTTCTCCCTGTTTTTCAGTTTGGTTTTTGCTACACCTCTATGCTGCGCACTCTTCCCACAAAAAAGGTAAACTATAATGATGATGAGAATGTTTTTTTTTTTGAACATATCTGAGAAACAACAGTCCTGTGCTATTTATGAAAAATGGTATCCTCCATCATCATCATACTATTTAGTCCAAATTTACTACCATTTAGGTGAGTCGAAAGGCCGAGCGGTTAGCAGGGGCGCCACAAGCTATAGCCATAATATCGGCGCTGGTTCGAACGGCACGCTTGCCTATGGTTCTGGTGGTAGAACAAGTCTTCTCAGATAAGGACTATAAACCGTAGGCCCAGTGTATACAATGGCTCGTGTGCACTATAAAGAGCCCAGTACATCCTTCGAGACAAGTAGGGGGATACCCCGGTGTACTGGAACAGACAGCCCCTGTGGTGGACGACGAGAGTTACTGGTACCGGGTTACCGGGTAGCACAGACACGAAGGAACCCTTAGGGGCGAAGAAAGTCATTGGTCGAGTTCCTAGTCCACATATCAAGCGCCCCGAGCATCTTATATTAGATGGATATGTGCGCAATATTAAACTACACTATTATTATTATTATGTTTGTTTTCCGCAGCTCTCTCTCTGTTACTAGATTGGAACCCGGTTTACGGAAAAGGATACGTGATGGCAATGATGAAATTGAACGTGTGTATTTCAACAAGGGGTTGTAATGACCACCCCTGATCATTACAATAGTATATTATAAAGACCATCACTGACCATGTGAACTTCACCAGAGTGTGTAATGACCGCATCCCATAAGCAGCTAAATTAATGTAATACTTCTCTGCAACTTATTGATATTAGGAAAGGGAGCACAGACTTAATTGTAACTTTCAGAAGTTTTTAAAAAATTGAATCTTACCTGGGCTTTGCCAGATACGATCATGGTTCTTTATCTCTGCAAGACTCGGTACATGGTCCACGTAATTTTTCGGTTCAGGTACCGTCCGCTTACAAACTTAATTTAATTTTCTAAGTTTGATAATTAATTAAAATAATTAAATTTTAGTAATTAATGTGTGATTTTAATTGGTATTTATTTTGTTGGTGCATTTATTTCTAGCTACATACCGTATATGCTCGAATTAACGCCACGGCGCTTATAACATTTTGGGAGGCTTCAGTGCGGCACTTATTCGAGAGCGGTGCTTATAAAAAAAATTTGGCGTGGCGCTTTCTGTGCCCATTCCCATTTTAGCCATTTCACGTATTCCCATAGGCATATCAAAGGTCCTGTCATTGTAAATAAATGTTTATAAAGAAGTGCTTGTGTCTTCATTGTGTTTATTTATTAACACTTTATACATTGTATTTAAAACCCTGTTTCTCAAAGTGTTGCATTACACGCAGGATAATATAAACTCTTGATTAAGTACCACAGGGAGCGATAAAAATCATGTTTGGGACGCTTATTCAAGAGGGCGCTTATTTGAGCACTTACGGTAATGTGTTTAGTTGCACCTTAACAAAAAGACATAACTAACTCAACTGGTCCATAATATTTGTATGTGTATTGTTGTTTGTGTTTTCATGGGGGAATGGTGAAGGTGTTTTGTGTGTGTAATCTTAAGGCAAACATCAATCATATATTTCACAGTACATGTTATACAGTATATTCTTTGGTTTTTTTTCTTTGTTCTTACAATATCCTTATTTGTGTGTGGTTTGTATGTTTTGTTTTCTATTATTATCTATATTAGTGTTGAGTGTATTGAACACAAATTCATTAATTTTCACTAAAACTGTTATAGTATTAATAGGCCTATATTTATCCATAAAGTTAATCAGTTGCCAAACTATATGCAAATATAATTTGTATGTAACTATGTTGCATATAATTTTCAATATTATTCCAAGATTCTATATTTCTTACATGTCATCGCATGGCATCCATGTTGTTGGGCGTCTTATACAGCTGATATATTTATTGGTTAAATATTAGTCCTATACATTAAGATTTAACTTCATTTTTGAACTTCATTTTTGTTTTTATTCATTGCCCTGTAAATTCTATGGTTCCTTATTATATTTAGAAGACACGTATCTGATACCACTGATATTTCTACTTGTTGCAGGATGCCTGTGACGCAATAAATTGTTCATTTTCTTCAAGACGGCCTACCTAATTCCCTTAAGGGCTGATCCAGCCTGTTAAGTGAGTAGGGGTTGGCATGAATTTGCGAGTGGAGCGAGTTTTGATTTAGCATGAGAATGTCCTGATAAGACTTAAAAGATGTTTTTTCACAAAAAACACACCCCCTCTAAATCCACCACTGCTAACCATCAATAGCAGAAACCATTTAAACATACTTTATGAAATGAACTAGGCCTCCCGTAGTGTACAGTTCGTGATTGGAGGTCTTGATCGTTTTTGTCTTGATTCTTGATAAGCCCATGGAAACAGTTTAGGTTTGTGGGAAGGAGAGGGGTACCAGAATGTTTGATTTTGCAGAGACAATTGTCAAGTTTGTGATTTTGGTTATAAAGCCAAAATGATTATTGCAGTTATTATGACTAGGCATATTGCAGTATTATAACCAAAAGTTATTATTATTACAATTCCGTTGACTGATGCAATATCGTTATAATGCTATAAATAATATGCTTAAAAATGCATTCTAGGTGTGAATATGAAGGTTAAGTTTGCAGAGCAATATAAGTATATTATTACAGTAATTGTGTTATATCGTAGTGAAGCTGTAGCCTATATTAGCTTGGGGATTAATATACTAACCATGGCCCAAAAATGATTGATTAAAGCGTTCCATGACTAGGCCCCGTGGGTGAACAGTGGTTCCATACATCCGACTCTCGACTTTAACAAATAAAGAATAATGTTCAGCGGCTGTGGAATGACAGAGCAGTTTACTATGTTACCATACGTACTGAGCAATAATAAACTCATTCATAGCATACACTGCCGGTATTTTATACGTGACAAAAAGAAAAACAATTATGGATCTCAAACAGGAAACAAAACTTTAGAAAGGAACAAAAAATAAAAATAAAAAAGCCCCAGAAATATTAGAACGAGTGACCTTTTTCCTCGTGTACCTTTTCTGTATTTGCCATTTGTTCCCGTGTACCATTTCTCCCCTGTGTCTTCACTTACAGCGTGTCTCTTCTCTTGGTGTCCATTCTTCCCCGTGTACCCATTTGTTTGTGTTTTGTCATTTTACACAAAGTAACGTAAACTTCTACATCGGCCTATGTCTCGAGTAATTTACGATTTCAGACGCCGTTGTAAAAGAGTGATCATGCAATTAATAATAATAAAATAATAATTCTGGATTTATATAGCGCCTCACGTTGACACAACCTCGAGGCGCTTAACAACAACAGAGAAGAATAAAAATTAAGTTCAAATGATTGGTTTGATGATTATAAATAAATGTTATTATTACAATGCCTGGTAATTGGAACCATTTCAAGGCCTGTTACTTTCCTATTCATCCCAAAGTCTTTCATTTTTCTTTCCCAATTGACGACATTAACAGTATGCTATAAGATAGACTTATATTTGTATTTTATTAGCACTGTATTAATTATTATTGTTATTACAGTATATTATTTTTGAAACGGGGGTGTGATAGTTCCGTAGAGTATCCGGTCAGAGCCCTGTCAGATAATAAGTTGGATTACTCTGGATTTGGTTTGAGCTTGTCATTTGCCAGAGCGTGGAGCTATCTTAGGCCTATAAGAAATACGGTTCAGTATTTTCAGGCCTGTAGCATTTTGATTTCTTTTTCTTCATTCCATAATCGTTTGGTTAATGCTTTGGGTTTGTTTGTTTTTTTTTTTTTAGATTGGTAAATACTATAACACACAATTTTATTTTTGAGAGTACAGTACGTGTAAAAGACAATCGTTTCGACTGTTCAGTTGTCGAAGACAAGAGAACTGTTTCCTTAATGAAGGGGGTGCCAATTATGGCGTGGTTGATTACTAATTTGGCTGATTTTCTCGAACTATCTGCCCACCCAAAATGTTGTAGGCCCTGAATCAACTTGAAATCTTTAATTGGCATACCCACCTATATACACTATTCCTAAATCTAATAATGACATTGAAATATTTTAATCGGATTTTAGATGATTTACTTTTGAATCAAATAATTAATATATTGATGATTCATTAAAGTAGCAATAAAGAAAGAAAGAAAGTTAACTCGAATACTGTACTGTCTTTTTTGTTCATTCTTATTTTAGTTGGTCTGTGGTACGCCCTCTACAGATCTATTGGAGTTTGCTAAACTAATAATGCAACAATGAGATTGGCTGTATTTCAAGTGCCAATAAAACAACAACAATTTGACCTCAGACGTTGCAAATAATTATAGTGATGCTATGAAGTTCTAGAAAGATTGTAATATTGTAGTTTATTTTATTCATATCCTTTGGTCTATCGGAAATTATATACTGGTATATACAGTACTGTATACTGTATATACATACTTACATATATGTAAGTATATATAGAAATATATAAATATACAGTCTTTGTCATATGTATATATATATATATATATATATATATATACTGTCTCTTATATATATATATATATATATATATATATATACACACACACACACACACATATATATATATATATATATATATATATATATATATATAGGCTTATGGGTGTGTCTGCTGTATATTTATTTCAGAAAGTACATATAAAATGTAAAAAATTGAAAAATCATTGAAGGCTGACTTCGGAACACAAATTTATTAAAATATAACAAAATAATAATAATAATAATATCTCGTTCTTATATAGCGCTTAATGCCTTAACAAAGCCTCTAAGCGCTTCACATTGTGATCAAGGGGATATTTCGATAACTCCTGCTATCTTTATCAATGTTAAAGTAGGGAAACTTGGAAGATCTTACACATACATAAAGAATAATAAATGGTATTAACCGATCAAAACCAATCAGTTGATTGGACTACAATATAGAAGTTTGGTGACAAGTTAATGAGCGGATTAAGTACAGTTAAACCATGATGGATGTCGGCAAAATAGAATTGATTATGCTACGTTTGTTTTCTTTTCTTTGTATTTTAGTTATTGTGTGTGCCACCGTTCTGAAGGTGAAGTGTCAATAAATAAATATGTACTAGATTATTGGCGGTGCCATTGAGCCAGCTTAAAGTCAGGCTCCGGAGGAAAAAAAATTTTTGATATGTTGTAGAACTGATTTTTCTAAGACAGAAAAAAGTTGTTTGACGAAAAACTGGGGAACGGTGAA